ATATATATATATATATATATATATATATGTGGTATATGTCTATGTGTGTATGTGTATATATATATATCCCGTGCAACATATAGCGTTTATCAAATTTTTAACAGCACATATATTGTACCACGCTCATGACACCACATATGCTTCAACACTCGCACTGCACCACCTATACTGGACCACGTAGGTTGCACCACGTAGCTTGCGCAACATGTAGTGCACCACATAGATTGCACCACGTAGATATTATACCACGAGCCTCACACAACATAGGTTGCGCAGCATAGAGGACACCCTATAGAGTGCATGCGATTAATTCCTTTGCGTACAAAGAGACCAGGCCCCCCCCCAGGACTCACTGGTACGTTTTTTCATGGCAACTCAGTGATGCTTTTGCTCCATTGTCCATCCTGAATATGAACCCTACCATCTCAGGCAGTCACTTATCGGCCCCAAAACATATCATGCGCGCGCACTAGTGAATCACACGTCAATTGTTTTCAAGAACCTCGTGCGCAAACATTGACGAAGTGCACGCGCGCGAGTCGTCGCGCGCGTATGCTGGATTCTTTCAAGAATTCGAGCTTCCGCAGTGAGTTCGCACCTAGGACATCCCGATCGCGCCAGTGGCCGCAGTGAGCTACACCAAGCAGCGTGCGCTGCGCGGGACGGCTTCGGTTCGTCGCAGCTTGTTGTTCCTCCTCCTCGGTATGTTCTTCTCCTTTGGCTCCGCGGTGTTCGAAAAAGGCCAACATCCCGCACGAGGAGGGTACGTTCGGGGCGAATGGCCCAGAAGAAAAAACATGCACTCGCGGCGAGTGGCGTACGGGCGTATCAGACGGGAGGGGTTGTGGTGGTGTCCCAGGAAGTCGTGGACGCGAGCAAAAAGGATATCCCTGCGCTCTCCACCAAAGCCGTCGTTCCCTTCGTTCTCGCCAACATTGGATACGTGAACTGGGCCACCGATTCGAATGTTCTCTTATTCTGGGCAATCATGTTGTATATCATATGGAAGTATAGATCGTGGCTCTGGTCGAAAGCTGCCGCCCCTCACGCCAACGTGGAACCCACACCAACGTGGAGCCCGCCGCTGCCAACCTGGGCAAAAACGGCCGCATTGACGGATTGGGTGCCAAGTCCACGCCACAACATCTTCGCGGGCCTTGTTGGGCAGGAGACCGGGAACAGAGACCGCGACAAGTTGAAGACCGCGGTAGATTTTCAGTCCTCCGCTGGGGTGTAACAAGTGTTCGAACAAGGCCCACGTGTCTCAATGTATTGCGTTGCTTCTCTCGGTCAAAGATCTCTTGGTGGGGGCAAAACCATCATGTCGGCCAAGGCATGTTCACCGGATACGGGGCCAAAGTCGTTGCCACGTTTCTCAACAATGGGTTCGCATCGACTGCACGGATGCCAGGGCGACAGATGTGTGGTTTATCGGGCGACGCATCAACACCAAGGGTGCGATGGCGTGGCTCTTTCAACAGGCCAGAACAGCTGCGCGCGCCACCATGGAGGCTAAAAAGGCCAAGACGTGGAACGGGGCCTCATTTCGGGCTTTGATGCATCGTGGAGAAATGCTTCCGCACCTCGCGCGATGTCATGCTCCGGGTGAATCAGGCCCCTGCATGGACTCGCAGCGTCGTCAACCCCATCGCAGTGGCTGAGAGACTGGACCAAGGCGCCCATAGCCTCGCCGTGCCCCTCGAGCTGGTCGACCTCGCGATCCAGGCACACGTCTTTCTTACGGCGGTCTTGGACAGCCCGTGGTGTTGCGTTATCGGGAAGGCCTACTTGGCGGAGGAAGGCTTTCCGACGCTTCTCGAAACGCTTGTGCTCGACGAAGGCCTCCTGCAATGGTTGAGCTGCTACAGTACAGTCGTCGGCGAGACCGTTGAAGGCGAGAAGAACAGCTCGTTCAGCTTCAACGACATGAGGGCGCTGGCTGACGCTGATCCGTCGCGCATTGCTGTCACAACGCTTTCGGGACTCAAGAATACCATGCTCAAGGTCAGCCCCGGTAACCAGATCGCGATTGCCATCGCTTCCGCTCAGGGAGATGTCAATGACAGCTGGGGCGCTGCCTTCGCGCCCGCGATGCCCAAGGAGAAGGCAAAGCAAATTGTTGACCGGATCTGCAAGGCGAACAAGAAGGGCGGCGCACGCAAGGGCACGGGCACTCCCTCGAGCGCGAAGATCGTGGAGGTCGAGCCCAGCACACCGAAGACGAAGAAGCTAGAGGCCGGCGGCGAAGGGTCGTCTGCGCGATTACGAGACTCCGTTGAGTCGGTATTTTGGCCCGACTGATCGGCTCCGAGTAATTCCAGCGAGCGTTTGCCGCCCTGAGTTCCCTCGCAGGCCTTTCGACGACATCCTGTTGCACATCGTTCCCATGCGTCGCTGCAAAACCGCGTGTCCCGAACCAACAATTATTTAGACAACTAGTGGTTTCGCTAATGCAATGGCTTGCGCTCGCCTTCTTGCGAATTCTCGCAAAAGCAAGACGCGGGCAACGGTCCAACCACATTCTACCAAACGTTCACTTCGCGCGAGCATGCCGAAAGCATTCGGCCGCCTGTTGCGCGCATGCTGTAGCAAGAACCAGTTGTAAAAAGAGGGATGAAGTGCCCGCGCGCGCGTCGTCGCGCGCAACTTTTGGAATCACTCGAAAATCCTACGCTTCGTAAGGGTTTCAAAGTCGGGAGTCCCGAACCAACAAACAGACGCATGGTTTTAGCAAAACATTTTTTGAAACAAAGGTTTGCGCGCTTTTGCGAATCAGTCAGGAACCCCCCGGTTTTGCAACGTTCCCATTAAACTCGACAAAGCGGGCTTCTCGCAACGCATGTCGACATCATTCGGGCACCCTTGCGCGCGAGCTGTGAGGGCACGATCCCTGTCATATAGCACCATGCGGGCCACTCGCGCGCGTCGGCCGCGCGCGCATGTCGCTGACGAGGGGGCGCCGTCATCGTCATCGGCGTGACCAGCATCGGTGCTGTCATTGGCCTTGCCGTCGTCCTCGTCATTGTCGCTACCAGCGCCGCTAATATTATCATCATGTCAGCCTTCGTCGACGTCGCCATGATACCGCGCCCGCCCAATTCACCGAAACGTCAGCGCCACCGCGGCCGCGTCGGTCGCGCCAAGCCAACTGGCCGCTGTGCGCGCGAGCATGCGCGGGCTAGCGCGGCCGCAGGGATCCACCAGCCAACACCAAACATGTATCGTAATTTCCGCCGAATGGGTTTTGCAAACCAACTTGCGGGTGGGTGGGTGGGACGACTGCGCGAGTATTGGGGTTGACAATTCCAAGTTTACCAAAATTGATTGCACCACATATGTGGCACCACCTATTTTACACCAGATAGCTCACACTGCAGATTCTGCACCACCTCAACTGCACTACGCGTGTTGCACCATACCGCTTTCACGACATACGTGGCACCACCTATATTGTACCACGCGTATTGCACGACATGGGTGCACCACATCGGTATCACCACGTAGATAATACATCGCACACATTGCACCACACGGTTGCGCCACATGCGTGGCATTACGTTGCCCACGCGACATAGAAACCATATCGCATTACATAAATCTACATCACGTTGCACCACGGACCTTGCACCACATAATTTTCACACTTGTGGTTTCACCAAGTATGTTACACCACATAAATTGCACCACGCGGCTCGCACTACATGTTTTGCACCGCGCGTACTGCACCATGTGTACCGACCCCAATATATTGCACCACATAGGTTGTATCACATAGCTTGCACCACACATGTTGCACCACGTGTGTTGCACGACATATGTTGCATCACCGAGCGTGCAGCACGTTTGCTGCATAGCACAGATGACACAGTTCAGAACGCACCACATTTACACATCTATTGCACCGCATAGAATGCATCACACATCTTCCACCACGTAGATCGAGCCACATCTGTTGCACCACATAATTTGCACCGCGCAGGTTGCACCACATAGTACGCCAAAGCAATGTTTTGGTACACGCTGGATGAAACTGTGTCGAAGTGTTCAGGCCTTGGGCGTTCTATGTCAATCATCTGCGCCTCGTCAGAGCGCCTTCCTGGGCCGCTGGGATCGACTCGACCAGCCCCAGGCAAAAGCTATTGCCCGAAAGCCAGCCGGAGGGATGGGCCCTCAGATCGAGGCGCCGCGAACAAATCACGATGTACGGTTCGGTCATGATGTCTGGCTCCGGGTCCCTCATGGGCGATTTGGCTTGAGAGTTTCCGCATGAGTTTTGAGGTTGATGGATGTGTTTTGTTCGCTACGTTTGTTTTGAAAACAATGGATTTCAGGGCAGTCTTGGCCATGCCCATCCTAGGCCCTGAGCTGGCGCACAGGTGTATGGGCCAGCAGAGTCTCTGCGTACGCCACTAAACGACCCAGTATGGGCGGTGTGTCAGGTTGCGCGTTTTCGAGAGGCTCCAGATCTCATCGCCATTTTGATGTTTGTACCTGCGCGACGTAGGACAGAGCATTCGACTGCTCGGAAGTTCGCGCGATAATTGTCAGGGACAGTTTTCGTGCGTGACCGTGTTTGTCCTACGGAAGTCTGCTGTGTTGGCGCCCTGCGTGCTCAAGGTCGCCTCTATAATGCGCTCTTGAATAATGCTTTTTCTCTTCCCAAACAGTGCATACACTTAGAGGCTCCCACTTCGGTTGCTAAGGAAACGGGTGGGTCCGCCGAGGTTTCGCCACGTTGCCGCCCGTTGCCGCCTCGTTGCCTCCCACCGCGCTTTGGTCCGTCGTGGTTTCGTCACGTTGCCGCCCGTTGCTGCCTCGTTGCCGCCCACCGCGCTTAGGGGCCCACCGAGGTTTCGCAATGTTGCCGCCCGCTGCTGCCGCGCTGCCACCCACCGCGCTTGGGGGGTCAGCCGAAGTCTCGCCACGTTGCCGCCCGTTGCCGCGTCGCTGCCGCTCACCACGCTCGGGTGCCCAACCGAGGTTTCGCCACGTTGCCGCCCGCTGCTGCCGCGTTGCCGCCCGCCGCCGGGGTTTCGCTACGCTGCTGCCCGTCGCCGCCCCGTTGCCGCCCGCCGCGCTCGAGGGGGGCGTTCTTCCCACTGCCGCCCACAGCTCGGGTGGCCTGCCGAGGCGCCGCCGCGTTGCCGCCTCGTGGCCGCCCACCGCGCTCGTGGGGCCCGTCGTGGCTTCGTCCCGTTGCCCGCCTCGTTGCCGCCTCGTTGCCGCCCGCCGCGCTCGTGGGGTGCGTCGGGGTTCCGCCCCGTTGCCGTCCCGTTGCCGCCCAGCTCGACTGTGGGGTCCGGCGACTGTCGTCCCGTGGCCGCCTCGTTGCCGCCCGCCGCGGTCGGGGGGTGCGTCGGGGTTTCGCTCAGTTGCCGCCCGCTGCCGCCTCGTCGCCGCGCACCGCGCTTCGGGGGCCCGACGGAGAATTTCGCTATCTGTTGTCGCCCATTGCCGCCTCGTTGCCTCCCACCTCGCTCGGGGGGTCCGCCGAAGTTTCGCCACGTTGCCGCCTCGTGGCCGCCCACCGCGCTTGGGAGCTCGTCTGGGTTTCGCCACGTTCCCGCCCGATCCCGCCTCACTGCCGCCCGCCGAGGTTTCGCCACGTTGCCGCCCGTTGCCGCCTCGCTTCCGCACGTTGCCGCCGCGCTTCGGGGGGTCGGCCGAGGTCTCGCCACGGTGCCGCTCGTCTCTTGGAAGGTAAGGAGCTTCGGCCGCGATGTTTACGCCACGTGCCTTGCACCGCGTACCTTGCAACACATAGCTTACACCGCATGGCTTGCGCATCGGGAGTGCAATGGCTCACTGTTTGGGGCCCACGCTGGCGAACAAGATGTTTCGGAGGATCTCGGATGCCTTCTGGTGGTTCCTCGAGGCCCAGTGTCGTCGAGAGCCTGTCGCGCACGCCACAAGCAGTCCAAACAGCTCTGTCTCTCAGGCCCGACTTGCGGCCAAACAACCCCCGCACCACACCTCGAGCTGCCCGAAACACAAGAAGCACCACGGCGGCCCGTGTTTCTGAGCTTGGTCGTCTTGAAGCTCGTTTCGGGCCTCGGGGCTCGCGGAATCCATTCGAATACTACTGCGGTCGAGGCCTGACCTAGACCTCTGCCGTCTCGATCGAGGCGGCGGCACTGGGAGCCTTGACCCCTTCCCCCCCTTCCCAGGACCGGCCGTTCAGCGTGAGTCGCTCTTGTCGGGCGGGCGGCAGCGGGGGGCAATCCACGTGGGGGCATCGAGGAGTGCAGAATTGCTGTCCTAGAAGGGGCCCTGCGTGGCCCCTCTCTCCTTCCCCTCCTTCTGGTTTCTCCTTTGTGTCCCTCTCTGCTGCTTTCTTCTCTCTATCTTCCCTTTCAACTGCCATGGCAGGCCCAAGCGGTGCACGAAGGGCTCACGTGTCTGCAACCCCCGTTCAGTGCACCCACGTTAACCAACACCTGATGTTGACCGTCCCAGGGCCGATGAGTGGCCCTGGAGACGACTGAAATTGCGAAGAGCCTACAGCACGAGGCTTCCAATCGCACTGGATTCAGGAGTGATGTCGGGGCGTTATTTCCGGAAAGGGCATTGGTGGATCCTCTCCTGCTGTCAGGGTGATACTTCCAGGATCGAGTGGCCCACCCAACTTTAAAATTGTTCGAATGGTCTGTGGTGCAGGTGGCTTGTTGGTGGCTCCCTCAGGATGTGGATCGCGGGCCAGAATGTGGAGCTAGGCCCCTATGCGGTGTCCTCGTCCTCTTTCTTCTCCTTCTTCCTCCTCCTCCTCCTGCTCTCATGCCTCCTCCCAGTTCTACCAGAGTCTCCTCGTTTTCAAAGTTGCAAGAGCTTCGCGGATGGGGGACGGGCGGCTTTCAAAATGTGCTGTAGTTCTCGCCTGAGCGCCACGCACATTTGCATTACAAGTTCGCAAGCGGTTCACAGATGAATTGCGATTCCTTTCCAACATGTGGTTCTCGCCTTAGCGCCGTTGCAAGAGTTTACAGCAGTTTCAAGGCATGTTACGGCTGACGTCACAGAAATGGCGTTTTGTTTTGGCACGGTGTATGATTGTCAGGGCGCGACAGTCACGCTGACTCGTGGAAATGATGTCCCATGATTGGCGTTCTCGCACGATTCAGGATCGTCTGTACGCAACGGTAACGTCGATTCGCGGCGCTGAAGTCCCAGGAACGATGTTCTGGCACGGTTCAGGGTATCCAGACGGTTGTCTTCCAACGGGGCATTCCCCTCAGTAAAAGTAAATCGTTGTAGGGCCATTTGAAGAGGGAATTTGGAGGAAGGGTTTATTACAACATCGTTGCTGAGTCTGAGGTTTGCACTGGTCGTCCTCCTCCTCCTCCGCCTTTCTCCTCCAACCTTCTTTTGTACCCCTCCCCCTTCTCTAAATCTCCGCATAATCCCTCCCTGATCCCCCGCTCCCCTCCCCCCTCCTTCTCCCCTCCCTCCCTCCTGAGCATTCCTTCCCTTCCCTCCCTCCCTCCCTCTTTTCTCTCCTCGTCCGTCCCCCCCACTGCCTCCCTCCCTCCCTCCCTGCCTCATCCCTCCCTCCCTCCCTCATCCCTTCCTCATCCCTCCCTCCCTCTCCCCTGTCTGCTCTCCTCCTCCTTCCCCCAACGCCTTCCCCCAACGCCTCTCTGCAGGCCGCCCGCGCTATTACGTGCCCGCCGGCGACGCGCCGGCGCCGTCCCTCCCGATGGTCCTGCCCACGGACGTGGCTAGCCCCGGGCCTCGGGGGGGCACCTTCTGCTGCTCCACCCCGCCTGCGCCCAGAGGGAGGGGGAGGAGCGAGGGAGGAGGAGGTGGCGGCGGAGGAGGAGGAGGAGGAGGAGGAGGAGGAGACGGATGGATACGTCCGAGGAGGAGGAGGAGGAGGAGGAGGAGGAGGAGGAGAGGAGGAGGAGGGGGCGGAGGAGGAGGAGGAGGAGGCGGAGGAAATGGAGGAGGAGTGAGGGAGGAGGATGAGGAGGAGGAGGCGGAGGAGGAGGAGGAGACGGAGGAGAGGAGGCTGGAGGAGGAGGGTGGAGGAGGAGGAGGAGGAGGAGGAGGAGGGGAAGACGAGGAGGAGACGAGGAGGAGGAGGAGGTGGACAGAGGAGGTGGACAGAGGAGGACGAGGAGGCGGAGAGAGGGAGCAAGAGGGAGTGCGGGATGGGAGGAGAGTTCGCAAAGGGAGGGATGCGGGATGGAATGGGGTAGCGGGATAGAGAGATGCAACGAGAGAGAGAGAGAGTCAGAGGGCAGAGATAATGTGATAATGAATGAGAGAGAGGGAGTGACAGAGACAGACAGACAGACAGACAGACAGACAGACAGACAGACAGACAGACAGGCAGGCAGGCAGGCAGACAAACAGACCGACCGACCGACCGGCAGGCAGGCAGGCAGGCAGGCAGGCAGACCGACAGACGGACAGAGACCGACGGAGACAGACGGGGACAGACAGAAAGAGACAGAGACAGACAGAAGCAGACAAACAGACGGACAGAAAGACGGACGGACGGACGGACGGACAGACGGACAGACAGACGGGCGGACAAGCAGCCACACACGCGCACTCTCACACACGAACATACATACGACTCAACACAAAAAAACACAAGGATGCGCGGTTGCGACGTATCCTAGTTGTGGGGCTCTCATTGTAGGTGTGATGCCTCCGCCTCCTCGCCGCCCCTCCCCTCCCGCTCCCTTCCTGACTCATATTGTATCATACCTACTCGCACTCCTAAGTATGAAGAGCTTGCTAATCACGAATATCCTTCGTATGGGGTGATTGTTTCCCGTAGCAGACGCATGGGACTATACCCAGCCATCTCCGATTTGTGGTGTGGGTTCGTGTTATTGGTGTCACGCCTACGCCGTGCTCACCTCACTCAATGACCCGCCGCCTTCTTTTCTGCTTCATGTTCAGTCCACTCACACTCGGACCCACCCAAACTTCGACTCACTCGTATTCAGGTTTTTCGCGATCAAGCACACTCATACCCAGATCCACTCATATGGAGGTTCACTGACACTCAGATAAGCTCATACCCAGACTCACCCACAACGCTCATCTCACTCAGATTAGTTCTCATGGTTTTGTTACACCGCCGTCTACAAACCCTCAGAACCTTGGACTGTGTCTGATGGCTGCGGGGGGGGGGGCGGGTTCTGATATGGCCCCCATCGGCCAGGTGACAGAGCAGGCCCACACACGCACAGAGAACCCCGCTCGGCGTGCAGAGGGGCCTCGCCCACGCGGGGGGGGACACAGGCCCCTCCCCTCCCCCTTGTGCCTCCGCCGCCGCCGCCGCCACCGCCGTCGCCGCCGCCGCCGCCGCCGCCGGCGCCTCTGCCGCCGCCCGCGGGCCCCGCCGCCGCGCCGCGGCCGCCGCCCGGCACGCCGCCGCGGCGCGCGCGCGGCCAGGTGGTCGACGGCGAGCCGCCCGCCGGCGCCTGGCCGCCGGCGCCGGCGCCCCGCGCGCCCGCGCCGGCGCGGGGCGAGGCGGAGCGGACGCCCCCGCCGCCGCAGGCGCGGCTGCCGTCGCACGTGGGAGCGCGGTCGTGTTCGCATGCGCGGCTTTGCCGATCGGCGCGGGCCCTCGCGCCCGGAGGACAGCCAAGGCGCTAAAAGAAGGAGCAGTTTGGGTACGAGAGGGGCTTTCTCTGGTCCTTCTATGGCTTTTCCTCTAGCCTTCCTCGTGCACGCAGGCGCTTGTGGGGCCAAAAAGAGGCTTCGTTCCTTGTTTATCGTTCCTTCTTTCAGCAGCCCGACTGTGGAGCTCGTGTGTTTGTGGCGCCCGTTTCGGGCAGGCAGAGCCCCCCACACAGGGCGCACCGTTGCAAACCGTCGCACCAGAAGTTGAGGTCCGGAGCCAGACCTCCCCCCCTCCCCTCCCCCTCCCCCTTCCGCGCAATGTCGAAACGCCCAATCAGCGAACGCTCACAACTTTCGTCGCCCCGCGCTGATGTCTCGGATCGGCGCCAGGCCCCTTCTGGCTGCGCCGCCCCTGGCGCGCTGCGTGCGCGCTCTGCGCGCCAGGGAGGGGGGCCCAGCGCAGATCCAGTCCGCGCGGAGCGCCGAAAGGTTCTGTTCATGCCGCGGTTCGTTCCCCCAGTGATGGCCGCCACCCTCGCCGCTGCCGCGCCGTTGCCGCCATCGTCGTGGTTCCCGTCGGAGCGCTGAGCAAGTTGGGCTCCTCTTTCTTCTCTGACCGACCTGGGCAGGAGAGAGAGAGAGAGAGAGAGAGAGAGAAAGAGAGAGAACGAGAGAACGAGAGTTCTAAGATCGAGGTCCGAGGGCTTGGGGCATTTCGATGGGCCTTTGGAGGGCTCCTCGCCGTCGCGGCTGGACTCCACCCGAAACTATGGTCAAAACGCACCTCGAGAGATGTCCAGGGGCCGACCTTTTCGGGGTCGCCGCAGAGAGAATGGGTACCGGACGACACGGGTTCCCTCAGGCGTTTCGCTGTTTCTCTGACTCCTGAGGCTTTGTTCCAGGCCCTAGGGTTACGTCGGGCACGTCCCTCTACAGGAGGACGACTCAAAAATTGTCAAACATACGCTGGGGACGATTTCGTTTTAGCATTATTGGACTATTTTAGAATATGTTTAACTTGTTGCCCAAAGTCCCCCTGTAGGAGGACGTGCCTGACCTTACCCTCGGGAGTCGGCGATACGTCGCCGACAGGTCGGCGATGGGAAAGTGAAGGGATACGAGCCACGGGTAGCGAGAGGGCACGATCCTGGGCACGGAGGGGGATAAATGTCTGAGGAGGAGAAGGTAACCGCATGCCGATGATAATAAAGGGACCCCCCCCCTCGTCAGTGTTTAGAGTTGATTATCGTCGCCCTATACAAAATTCAATTTGGGCGGCGAGCGCTGAGGCCGAACTTCATTATCAGCTCGAAACGCTATGTTGAGATAGCAACATCAAGCGATGTTGATATAGCAACATCAAGCGAAGCGATCACACTTTTCAGGATGTGTCAAGCGAAACCAATAATTTTGGGAGGCAGACTCAAACGAAACGAGCAATGTTCTTATTATTCTTCTACTTTCCTCTTCTTCTTTTATATTTCTATCTGTCCTCACGCTCGCCTGAACTTTTTTTATCCCTGGGGTTGATTATCCATGGAAAATGAAGCACATGAGCTACCCTACACGAGCACTTTAAAACAATCAATTTTCATAAAGCGTTTGTAAATTAAAATGGACAGATTTGGAACTTTGGATTTTTCCTTTCTTCGTCCTTCTCTTATTATCCTATTATTCTTCTTTCTTATTATTATTCTACTGTATTCTTCTTCGTGTATATTGCTCTCTGTCCCCACGCTCGCCTGAACTTGTTTATTTCTGGGGTTGATTATCCATGGAAATTGAGGCACATGAGCTACCCTACACGAGCACTTACAAAAAAACAATGTTCATGAGAGATAAGCCATTGTTGAGGATATTTCTATGAAAACTAAACGCCAAGGATGTCTCAAAACGTGCTCGGCTTGGTCTCCTCTTGATCATCTCTTACTTCGAGATTATGCTGAGGTCTGCTGGGCTACTTTTATTATCTCTCCCTGAACCCCGAACTTTATTATCCCCTAGTGTTTATTCTCACGGGCATGAGGTTACCCATACCGCGACGTTGTCCTCGTTTCTCATTTTGGGGGCCTCCTTGGCGGCCCTCGTCGCCACCGCTGGATTCGCCTCAACATTTTGGTCAGAACGCCCTCTGGGAGAGGTCCGGGAAGTAGCGGTATCGGTACCCGTTGGTTCCCCCAAAATGGGCAATGGGGGGCAATCCCCTCTCTCGCCTCCCCTGACTTTCAGAAGTGGATGGTCGTGGGAGATTTTGCTGCAAGGAGGTGCAAGAGGTGCAGTGACTACCTGGCCCTGCAGCAGCTGCCTCCTGGCATAGCATTGAGTCGGGCATGCCCCTCTACAGGGAATGTTCAATAATAGTAAAACATAGTTTGGTGACGATGTTCCATGCTCTTTTGGCTATTTTTTATGATATGTGGATTATTTCTTCGTTTTGCTTTTCCCTGCGACGAAGTCGGGGCCGACCCCATCTCGAGGTGTGGTTCCTCGAGCTGGATCGGCCCACGAGGGCCCCGATTTCTCTCCTGCCGCGATTCTTCACGACGCTCGGGCCTGAGGGGGCGGCGGCGGCGACGGCGACTGACAGCGGCGGCGGCGGCGGCCTCTGACGAGGGCCCGCCGAAGGTCGAGATTCGTGGCACGAGAGGACGTCCAGGGGCCAGCGACGACGACCACGGCGGCCGCGGCGACGCCGACGGCGACGCCCACGGCGGCCACGGCGGCGGCGGAGGCGCCAGACGACCCGAGGCCCACGGCCCGGAGGCGCCGCTGCCGGAGGCCGACGGCGGCGGCCCCGCGCCAGCCGGGGGCCTCACGGCCACCCTGTGGGTGGGCAACCTGCAGCCCTCGGAGTCGGGGGCCCGGGGTCGGAGATCGGGGGGATCAGTGCAGTACCGTCGGGGCGTTGACCTAAGGAACGATAAATAAGGAACGAGGCCCCTTTTTCCCATAAGTTAACCTTCGGCTTCCCATCGAAAATGTAAGGAAAACCTTGGGCAAGGTGTAGAACAATTAAGGAACACCGAGCCCCTCCCCAACGAAAAGCGTTCCTTCTTCAGGGCCCCGACTGTAGGCCCGTCGACGAAGAGGACCTCCTGCCAGCAGGTCACCCATGGCGACCCAGGGGGAGGTCTCTCCTCCCCCGGTGGCCCCCGGGGGCCTGCAGAAGTTCTGGGGCACACCGCAGGAAGCTCAACATTCGAGGACGCGCGTGCCCCCAGATTTGTTCTAGCAAGGCTTCTGATCGCAACCGTACGAAGGAGTGGGGAGGAAGACCGACGTCAGTCCATGTGCGTATGTAAGAGGGCTCGTTGTCGGCGCCGCAGTGGGCGTTGCTCGAATGAGACGAATTGTAACTCGCCCAACTGCGGCCGCTGTCGGCTTTGGACAGCATCTACTGCTGGGCATCTTGACATTTGTTCCATCGCATTTCAGGCGTGCCAAGGGGAGGGGCGCGCGATCGCCCCGACGATAGGCTAACTATCTCTCCGCCGATTGGCTTCGCCAGGAGGTCACCGTGAGGGGGGGGGGCCGAACGGTCTTGTACTGCCCCTGGGCGCGCGGCTAAGGTGCGGCTCCGCGGTGCAGAGTCACGCTCGGACTGGCCCCGCGACCCACCCGCGACCCGCCCCCGCGACCTGCACCGCGGACATGCCCCGCAATCTGCCCGCGACTCACCCGCGACCCACCCGCGACCCGCCCCAGAACCCACGTGCGACCTGCCCCACGCGCGTTCTGCCCACGACACGCCGCGCAATCTGCCTGGCGACCTGCCGACGACCCTCCCGCGTCACACCCACCCGCTTTGCTACCTGGGCCGTCTTGGGGCTGTGCTGGGTTCACATGGGGCCCTCTGGGGGTACTCTGGTGACCCCCTTGGGCCGCCTTGGGGCTTTCTTGGGTCGTCTTGTTGCCGACGTGGGCTCTTGTCGGCCGTCTTGGGAGTCTCTTTGGGCTGTCTTGATGGAGTCTGGGAGCCCTCTTGAGCCATCTTGAGGCCCTCTTGGGCTATCACGGGCTTCCCGTCTTGGGGCCCTCGTGGAGCTTCCTGGGCCGTCTTGGGGGGTTCTGGAAGTCCTCATTGGGCATGATTGGTCTTTCTTTGGTTCCTCTGGGGCAATCTTGGAACCGCCTTGAGCCGTGATGCCTCCAGGCAGCGCAGTACAGAAACATGTTCACTCGCACCCAGTCCCCCGCAGATGCGGATACGAGAGAGGGTGCAGAAAGCACAACCGCTCGGGCACCCTCTCTCTGATAAGAGTGCCCTCCCGGAAGGCCTCGTCGCATTCTCTTAGATGTTATCAAGGCGTCATGGGTCCCCTTTGGCGACTCTTGTGGACCTATGATAAGAACGCCCTCCAGGAAGGCCTCCTCGCATTCTCTTAGATGTTATCAAGGCGTCATGGGTCCCCTTTGGCGACTCTTGTGGACCTATTCGGCCATGTTGGATGTCTCTTGGCGACCGATGTCCTTTCTCGGCCGTCTTGGAAGCGCCGGGCCCTTCAGGGAGCCTGGGGAAGGGGGGGATGCTTGCAGTGAGGTGCGAGGAGGAGGAGGAGGAGGAGGAGGAGGAGGAGGAGGAGGAGGAGGAGGAGGAGGAGGAGTTGGAGGAGGAGGAGGAGGAGGAGGAGCAGGCATGGGGTCCCTTGGAGACCTACAGAAGCCCCACCAGACAGCATTTGGCATTCTTCCACGCCCCCCTGGCGCATGACGTGCCCCGCCTGGGCGACAGCCGGGCACACCTGCGCACGCCGCCCGACCCCTCCACGCGAGCATCCGGCGCGGCCTCCGCGCGCTTGCCTCCAGCCTCCCCGGGAGCCCGCCGCCGCCAGCGCGGCCGGCGAAGCCCTACACCTCCGCCTTCGCTCTGCCCCCCCGCGGCCTCGCTCTCCGCCCCCTTCTCTCGCCTGTCGCTCTGACCGCGCCGGCCGGCGACAGAAGAGAGGTGGGCCTGGCCGGAAGAGTGCGCACCGCCACCTGCCGGGGGGGTGCAGGATGGATCGATTTGCGGGGTGCGGGCGAGCACCACGAGAGCGCCCGAAGAGGTGCACGACTCGGACGGGGCCAAGACGAGGATCAAATCCGCTCCAGAGCATTCTGGAACGCTCTCAGAGCGTTGCGGAACGCTCTGAGAAGGCCGCCCGAGACATCCTCCAGATCTGCTTGGCCTTAGAAATTCTAGATTTATCCTCACCCGTTTTTGCCCCCGTCCTAGCGTCGTCTTAGTATAGGATGTTGGATTGGCCGATCTGCGTGGTCTAGGCGAGCACCACGGGAGCGCCCGAAGAGGTGCACGACCACCACCGACCTGTCCTTGATCGGGGCGCGCGCGCGCGGACAGGTCCAAGCAGGGCGCGCGCGAGCGGCAGCTGCGGGCGCACGTCGCGGGCTGCCTGCCCGAGGGGCAGGGGGCGCAGATCCGGAAGGCGCTCCGCCGAGAGGGAGGGGGCCGCTCGGCCGCGGGTCGCGGTCACTGGTCGTCTTGGGTCGCGGTCGGCGGTCGTCGACCACGGTCCCAGGGGAGGAGAAGATAAGTCCCAGTGCCGCTGACCTTCTTCTAGCCGTTCCCTCTGGCTCCCTCTCGCCTTTCCCCCTCGCTCCCTTGTCCTGCGCCTCCTCCTCCTCCTCCTCCTCCTCTTCCTCCTTCTCCTCCTCCTCCTCCTCCTCCACTTCCTCCTCCTCCTCCTCCTCCTCCTCCTCCTCCTCTTCCTCCTCCTCCTCCTCCTCCTCCTCCTCCTCCTCCTCCTCCTCCTCCTCCTCCTCCTCCTCTCCTCCCCCTCCCACTGACAGTACTTGATGTTTTTTTGAGACGCGCGCGAAGCTCAACATTAGCCTTGTCTGGCCGATGCGCCGTGCAGGCGCCTGGCGCGCACCCGACGCGACCCGCCGCCTTCCCTGGTCGCCACCGCGGGATGCGCCTCGAGATCCTGATCCCAACGCATCCCAGGGGGAGGCCGGGAGTAGCTGTAGATCTCCCTCTCGCTCCTTCTCGCCTTTCCCCCGCGCTCCCTCGTCCTCCGCCTTCTCCTCCTCCTCCTCCTCCTCCTCCTCCTCCTCCTCCTCCTACTCTTCCTCCGCCTCCTCCCCTCCTTCTCCTCCCCATGTCTTTACAGCGTATGATTTCTCAGCATACCTTCGTCTGGCCGATGCGCCGTGCAGGCGCCTGGCGCACCCGACGTGACCCGACCGCTGACCTTCCCTCGTCGCCACCGCGGGAGGCGCCTCGAGAGCCTGATCCTGACGCACCCCAGGGGGAGGCCAGGAGTAGCGGCCCATTGCATGCCACGTGCACAGCGCTTCTAATCGTAAGCTATTGCTTACGAGCTTTGGGGGGTCGAGGGCGATCACTCGTAGGTCAGTGTTCGCGGTGACTTCACGCTGTCGTTTTCGAGGGCTTGCCCGCTAATTCCCCCCCCATCTTGTTATCTCGCCAGCTGCGCCAGGTTACTATGCACCGCAGTGGGCGCTGCGCGTTCCTGGATCTGAACAACGCGGAGATTGCGAACAAGATCGTAGCCGCACTCAAGGGTAGCGAATTCGACGGGGCTACCTTGGCGATTCAGGGACACACTCTGAAAATGTTGCCATGCTGTTGAATGGACAGAATCATTCGTTCAACGAGTGCGAAACTGGATGTGATTACGGCAAGTGTGTTCCCAATCACGACGGCGCTTGTGAGGGTGCCTAGGCTCTTTCTTCAGCCCTCTTTTTTCCCTCTTACAGTATTGCTCAAGCTGTTGCGTGGGCTCGTCTTTCTGGCCTCAGTGTGTCAATGGTGTCTGGTCGGGTGAGGCTTCTTTTTGGACCGATCCATGCCTGCGCGGCGTCGTATTCGTTTTGACTGCCGTTGCCGCAGGTATCGGGAATCACGACGGCAGTTGACCACGCTGTGTGGCGCCAACATAGCGCCGTGAGAATTTGCATGAGGAGAGACATGCTGCTGGTACGAGTTTCGCACGGGTTCGTTTGCCCACCTGGCGAAGCCTCCCAACTGTGACGAAGCAGCAGTGACTGACGGGTCGGACGTGCGCTTCGCGGCCTGGTTGGGCATGCGCACCTCCTCGTGGACTCGATACCCCCGGACCCACCGCTTGGCAGTCCCGCTAGACGGGTCGCTGCCCCGCCCCCGCGATCTAATGCGACCCCCGACGTCGTCGTAGTTTACTACTTGGCCCCACGGCCCTCAACCCCGCCCGCACGACCCATTTATCGTTGTGCTGTTTCTGTTTGGGGGAGGGGTCCTGGTGCCCTGAGGCTGCCTTGTGATCGTTTTTTCATTTGTTGTTTTGCCCATCGGCGCGGGCCCCCCTCCCCCCCCCCCTCCCTCCCCTTGGAGTAGATCTTGGCCGTTTTTGGCGCCTGTTTCAAGCAGGTGGGGACCCTCCCCCATAGGAAGCACTGTCGCAAACGGCCGCATTGAGCAGAGGTCCAGAGCCAGACGCCCCCCCCCCCTCCCCCCCCCTCTTCCGCCCAGTGCCGAAACGCAGAGTAAAACAAAAAAAGTTCACCTTCTGGAAGCCGAGGCTGGCCAGAGTGCCAGCCGTGCCCTTCCCGCGGCTCCGGGTCCGCACAGCAGGCGCCAGCACGCCACCACCGTGGCGGGCCAGGGCCATCCCGGCCCCCAGGGGTGGCGCACCGAGCCTTCCGCTCCGAGCCGCGGCCACGGGAGCAGACGCACCGTGCCAGGGCCCAGGACGGCCCTGGCATGGCGCACGGGGGTGTTAAGGGTGCCTTCCCGCGCTTGCGCCCGGCCTGGACGCCCGTCTGCCCATCCCGTGCCGCCTCCCCGAGGCGAGCCGGCTGGTCCAGGTGAGGCGCCACTCCCCGAGCTGCGACGCCATTGGCGAGGCCCAGAAGAAGACGAAGAAGCGCCGCTCCAGCGCGGAGGGCCTAGTGCGCCGTCTCCGGCGCGCCAGGCATCCGAGGGGCTCGATGTATAGGGCACGTCGTTGACGCTGCAGCATCCCGCAGTGTGGCTGGAGTGTCTGACTGTGCACTGAGGCTCTTGGCCGACCCGCGACGATTTGGTGAAGACCCGGAGCCCCTCACGGGGCAGACGCCCCCCAGCGTTCACAGGCTCGGTCCCCCGCGGGAGCGCGGAGGCGATGACGGCTCAGCCATGCGCCTCGGGTAATACGAGGTGCTGACTGCGGATCGGGGCGCCTCAGACAAGATCGTGGCGGCTGTTCTTTTGTCTGCTTGGCTTGGGCTTCAGAAGGCGGGTTCTGGGATCTTTGCCCGCCCAAACATGGTCCAGGACAGCACATTGATTCCTAGCGGGGTGGGGTCCAGATGTCCGAGGGCCCGCGTCACAAAGACATGTGACTTCGGAAAGGAGGTGGGGAGGTGGAGAAAGGGAGGAGGAGAAGAAGGACGAAGATGGGGAGAAGGCGGAGGAGGAGGATGAGGAAGGAGACGCGCAGGAGGAGGAGTAGGAGGAGGAGGAGGAGGAGAAGGACGAAGATGGGGAGAAGGCGGAGGAGGAGGAGGAGGAGGAGGAGGAGAGGAGGAGGAGGAGGAGGAGGAGGAGGAGGGAGGAGGAGGAGGAGGAGGAAGGAGACGCGCAGGAGGAGGAGGAGGAGGAGGAGGAGGAGGAGGAGAAGGTAGAGGAGAAGGAGGAGGAGGAGGAGGAGGAGGAGGAGGAGAAATGGTCCGGGGCGGGTGCCAGCGGCCGCCAGCGTCGAGCCAGATTTTCATCGGCACCACTCCTGGCCTGGCCCTCCTTGACGTCGCCGTGCAGCATGCGGTCCCGTGCCAGAGGCCTCCTCGCAAACGCCGCCAACAGTCAGAGGGAAACACAAATTCCGATAAGGCACGTTCGCCCTGCGTTGACGCGGCGGTGACGCCAGCTCGGGCTTTCAAGTTTAACGCAGTCAGTGGCCCGGAATCGCCAGTGTCGAGCGATTTGCGCTATCGGAGAGCTGCGATCGTTCAAGGTTGAACGATCCACTCGGCGTCAGAAACCAACGCCCGCGACATCGCGTTGCGATCCAGCCCCGCCGATGCCCGTCCCTCGTTTTTGCCTTGTTGGGGGCCTCCTCGGGGGCCCTGGTCGCTAGTCAGAGCGGAGGTAGTCGGCGATCGATGATAATACGTAATTCTGTACACTGCTACCCCGCGCTCGGAGCCCCCCCCGGGGGGGCGGGCAGGGCATGGATAAAAAAAGGTGGCCTCCAAAGGCCAGCTCTGTATCCACGCCTCCCCATCCGCCACCTCGCATGCTCTGGCGTCCTTGAGATCCGACGTTGCAAACAAGTGGCAGCATCGCAACAAAAATCACGACCTGACCCCTGGACCCCATCTTTCTGCGTCATTCTTCGGGCCGGATCGATCTGTGAGAACCCCGGGACCCGACATGGAGCGAAAACGCCCAGCTCGAAAAATCTGAGCCAGACCCCCGGACACTATCTTTCTGTGTCATTTGTCGGGCCGGATCGAGCTGTGCGAGCCCCAGGGCCCGACAGGGAGCGAAAACGCCCGGCGCTCGAAAAACCTGCGTCGCCAGGACCTCTCGGGGGCACGGGCACGGAGCAAGCGCCGACCGCCCAGGCGGCGCCCAAGGAGGAGGCCTCCGACGCCGAGGCGTCGCCCAAGGAGGAGGCGTCTGACGCAGATGCGTCCAGCGCCGCGGGGGAGCCCAGCACGGGCGGGGGCTGCCCGCCGCCGGAGGCAGCCGCGGGCGACTCGCTCCCCTCATGGGAATGTTTTCCACCACAACCACCATAAGGGGGAGGGAGGAGGGAGGAGGGAGGAGGGAGGAGGGAGGAGGGAGGAGGGAGGAGGGAGGGAGGAGGGAGGAGGAGGAGGAGGAGGAGGGAAGGAGGAGGAGGAGGAGGAGGAGGAGGTGGAGGAGGAGGAGGAGGAGGAGGAGGTGGAGGAGGAGGAGGAGGAGGAGGAGCAGCAGGAGGAGCAGCAGGAGGAGGACCCCCTCCCCCTCCAACTCATGGTGGTGGTGGTGGAAAACAGGCCCATCGTCCCCCACGCGCGCGCGCCGACGGGCCGCAGCCCCGGGCGCTGCTGGTGCGGGGCTGCGCTGCCAGAGGGCCCCGGAATCTCACCCGCGGCTCCCTGCGCTGCAGGCCGCCTCTCAGAGGCAGCGCTCATCAACGAGCGCGTTCCACTGCTCGCAGAGCAGCTGCCCGCAAATGTCCGAAGTATTATCTGTTTGCTTCGGTGTAATATATCGTGAATCTCCTGGGGCGGATCCAAGCCTTTTGCAAATAGTTGCTGTGCGAGTCGTGGAACGCGCTTGTCTCGTTTAGGGGGGATTTGGCGCCGATGTAGCGTCGACTAGTGCCGATTAGCGTCGACTAGCGTCAGACAGTCGATGGGCCAGTGGCGATGCAGCGTCGATTGGAATCGATGATGGTCGATGTTGCGTCGATTTTGCATCGATTAACGTCGACCAGCGTTGATTGGCGTCGATTAGCATCGATTCGGAAGAGCCAACAAGATGGTGCTGGAGGGTCCCATGAGTTGCCGCCGAAAAACGGAAGGCTAGGCGGCTAGGCTCAGGGGGGGTGAATTGACCCCCCCTCGCCCCTTGATCGCCGATATGGGCCCGATAGCCCACCCTGCCTGCCCAGGACCGTGCGGATTCGCCATCGGGGGCCTATCGCTGATCGACTAGCGATGCGTCGCCGATTCCGGGTCGATGTTTCTCCCCTGAGCTGGTCTCGGGCTCACTGAAAGAAGGAGGGAGAGGATCATCGGAAATTGGAACATATCCATTACCAGTGGCGGGCTGCTTTTCGATCCCAAGACTTTTTGAGGGTCGGGGACGACGTCGGGGTGGTGCGGTGTACACTTCTTTCCCCGTCTCCTCGGGGAACCAGCAAAAATGTTCCCCCCCGAGCGCCCCCCCCCCCCCCCCCTAAAAGCGTTCCCCCCTCGGAGGAGGGAGGGAAGTGGGAGGATCGAGGCCTTGGGGAGTTGTGTCACCCGTTCTGCTGCCACTCGGGTGGGCCCCTCGTCGCCAGGGGCTGCCCCCGACGTCCCGGAGAGGCCTGGCCGCAGGAGGCAGGCAGGGAGGGCGGAGACATCGGAGGAGTGTGTCTGCTTTTGCTTCTCGCGCGCCCTCCACGTCGTGTCCGGATTAGGGGGATCGGAGGAGGGGCGCCAGGAGGAGGGCTGAGGGCATCGGATGTCCTGGGAGGTGTTCGTGGGCCTTCCAGGGGTTCCCCCAGATGTCCAGAGAGGGATGTTTCCCGAGGGGGACGTGGGAGGAGCAGGGGAAAAGAGCATATGTCGAGAAGGAGGAGATCCTAATTCTAGACGCTTCGCGTAACCCCACAAGCCCATCCAGAAACGATGCCCAGAGGAATTGCCTCGATCAGGGAAGTGGGCAGCACACAGAGGAAGGATCCTCCAGTGGAGGCTTCTTGGAGCGTTTTGGGGGCCTCTTGGCGGTCCTGGACGCATCTTAGAGCGTCTCGGGTGCCTCGGAGAGCTTCTTGGGGCCTCTTGGAGGTCTCTTGGGAGCCTCTTGGACGCCTCTTGGGCGCCTGTTGGGGCCTCCTGGGGCCTCCTGGGCGCCTCTTGGGGCCCTCTTGAAGCGCTCGTGGGAGCCTTGGGAGCGCTCTTGGGACATCGATCAAACAAGAGGGGATCATTAATTAGCGTTGCCCCTCGGGAGACCAACAGGTAGCCTCTTGGGGCGCTCGTGGGGCGCTCTTGGAGCGCTCTTGGGCGTTCTTGGGGCCGTCTTGAGGCTCTGGTGAGCCTCTCTTGGAGCCCTCTTGGGCCATCTTGGAGCCATCTTGAGCCCTCGGATGGCCATCGGAAGCGAGAAGGCGAGAAAGCCAAACATATTGATGTCCCCAAGGTTTTGGAATGATTTGGGCCTCTTCGGGGCCTCCTGGGGGAGCTATTTGGCCACTTGGAGCTGTCTTAGAGCGGTCTTGGGGCCTCTTGGAGCATCGTGTGAGTCATCTTGAGTCGTTTTGGGATATCTTGGGCAATCTTGGAGGTCATCGTGGGCTCTCCCAGGCGCTCTTGGAGTCATCTTAATCAGTGACCCCCCCAGGAGGCCAACATGTGGCCAAAACCTTAGTAAAACCAATGAGTTTGGCATGCTCGCCGACGCCTCTTGGAGCGTCTTGGGTGCCTCTGGGGGGCCTCTTGGGGCCTCTTGGGGGTCTCTAATCTAGGGAGCCTCTTGGGGGCATCCTGGGGGCCTCTTGGGGCCTGGCTACCTCTTGGGGGCCCTCTTGGGGCACCCTTGGGAGCCTTGGGGACCATTGTTGGGCCATCTTGGGTGAGATCGACCAGAGGAGGGGAGCTCCCCAATTAGCCCCCCCCAGGAGGCCAACATGGGGCTAAAACCTTAGTAAAACCTATGAGTTTGGCTTCCTCGCCGAGGCCGTTTAGGACGCTCCAACTACCCGCGGAACCCCCCGTCCAGGTCCAGGGGAGGGGGTAGGGGGAGGGGTCACGCTACCCACCCGCCCGCAAGCCGTCTTGATCACTCCCACCCGCCCTCCCAACACATGAGTAACACCCCAGCCTGAGCATGCTCAGCGGTCTTCTTTCGATCGACTGCTACTGGGAACCAAGACCGAGCACATGTGCGCGACGCTGGGGCGAGGTGCGCCACGCGTGCCAGTCGCGCCACGCGCGCCAGGCACCCCTGTGACCCGAGCGTGCCAGACACGCCTGGTGCGCCAGATGCGCCACGTGCCTCCGCGTGCGCCAGGTGTACCGCATACTTCAGCCGCGCCAGGTGCGCCACGTTCGGGGCACGTGCAGAGTGTGTCAGGTGCGCCTGCGTATGTGACAGCAAACATCGGGCAACATTTCGGCCTCCACCATCCATGTCGAGAGCCAATGCCCATCATTGTGTCTGGTGGGCCTGCGCACAGCAGGCCATATGCCACCACTTGGCAGTGATCGCGGGGCAGCCGCGCATGATGCAGGTTAAGCCGCGAGTTGCATATCGTTTTTTGCGTTAGAGATGGTCGCTCTGCGCACAGCAGGCAATATGCTGACACCCCCGCCGTCCCTGTAAGTGCTCGCGGGCTTCACGAGCATGTCCCCAGACTTTGCCCCAACATGTACTTTGTATTGCGTTTTGACAGGGATGGTGGAGGGGGGGGCATCGGGTTGGCAGCGCATGCTCCAAATTTGGAGGCAGAGAACGTTACGTATTGTTTTTTGAAGGGGATGGTGGGGGGGTGCCCGCATGGTTCCTGGTTGGCCGCCGGTCGCCTGGGGGGGGGGGTGTATAGTAGTAGGGAACAGAGTCAAACCCTTCCCCGAAGGGGAAGAAGGTGATTGGAAGAGGAAGCTCCAGTAGACCACCTACGCCCTGAAGGGTTGGTGGGATTCGGCAGCGAGCGAGGGGGGGGAGTGAGAAGGAAGAGGCCTCCTCAGAAGGCGGCGGGACTTCTCAGAAGCCCTCGCACCTTCTGAGAGGTTTTCTGTTTCGTCAGGCATGGCTCTGACAACTTCTCAGAAGGCCGGGGACTTCCGAGCCTTCTGAGAAGGCCCGCCGCTTCTCACTTCTTCCACTGGACTCGCCGCCGACTATTACTGTGTGTGCGTCGCTCCCCCAGGAGGGACGCGCGAACCGAGAAATCTTATAGTATAAGCTCCGTGGCGGGCGCTTTCTGGCCATCTCGCTCGGAAAACGGTATACCACAAGAGGTTTATGCTATGTGTTCGGGTCGGACGCACGCCTCCTAGGATGACACCTTGTACTAGTGTGGCACTGTGCGTCGCATTTGAGATTGAGCGATCCTCGCGGTGTCGGAGGTCAACGCGCAAGTCGTCACGACACACGAACCCGCCGTGATCAGAGCCTCCTGGAACGCTGGCACATGCATCCCATCAGGCACGCAGTGTCACCTCGGCCGATTGCTGCGCCGGAGATGAAAGGGGAGGAAGTGGAGAAGGAGGTGGAGGAGGAGGAGGAGGAGGAGGAGGAAGAGGAGGAGGAGGAGGAGGAAGAGGAGGAGGAGGAGGAGGAAGAGGAGGAGGAGGAGGAGGAAGAGGAGAAGGAGGAAGGGGAGAAGGAGGAAGAGGGGGAGGAGGAGGAGGAGGAGGAGGACGAGGAGGAGGAGGAGGACGAGGAGGAGGAGGAGCTTGCCCCCTCGCCTGCTCCTCCGCGGCGCTGTGCCAGCAGCCGGTCGCAGTCTGGCGGGACGCGCGAGCCGAGCTGCACCCGAGCGTGTTTGCCCAACGCGCTGCAGCGCTCCTGCTCGCACGCGGGGACCACGACGACAATCGCGTCTGTGTTCCGCCGAGGTCTGGGCACGGGCGCCAGCATCGCAGCGCGGGTGTCGTTCGGAAAACGATAGGATGGACCCGGGGTGTCCTGGAGAAGTTCGTTCCGGATTTCGAGGCGGATTCCGTGCGGATTTGTTTGGCCAGGAATGAAGACTAGCAAAACTCCACGCGACATTCACGCCGTTTTTCACTCGCCGTTTCGGGGCTTTGCCTTGGCAGAGATCCACGCAAAAAATCCGCTGCCGCACATCTGCGAGGCCGGTGAAGTGAGAGGTCTGGGCTTGGGAGCTGGGGCGCCGACGTCTCGGTGCTCTCTTTTGTCATCCCGGGCCTCCAGGGTCGCATTCGGGCGCCAGTGCCATCACGCACCCATCCAGGATGCGCCGGGCGGGGCTGGGACCGGGGCGCAGCGCTCCAGAACGCTCTCGGAGCGTGCGGGGGCGCTTCGGAACGGCCGCGGCGCCCGGTGCATCCTCCAGGGCCGCCAGACCTCAGGGCCCCCCGATCTGTCCTGGTCCGACTGTATCCCGGCCTTGGCTCCTGCCGCCGATCTAGGGGTGATGCATCGCCAATCTCAGGTTGATGCTCCCCCCCCGAGCCAGAGCCAGTCCCCCCCCCCGCGTTCTCCCTCGCCCTCGACGACGTGGCCTTCAACGACGACGGCGTCTCTCGCTGAGCCTCTCTCTCTCTCTCTCTCTCCCTGCCCGCTGTCCGCGGCTCACTGGCAGGCCGCCGAGGAGAAGCAGGAGCAGGGTGCAGAGGCGTCGCCAGCGGAGGATCCGCCTCTGGAGGCCCTCGGGCTCACTGAAAGAAGGGAGGGAGAGGAGCAGGTCGGAAACTGGGAAGAAAAACATGACCAGTGGCGGGCTGCTTTTCAATCCCAGGACTTTCTTTATGATGCTCCAACCTACTCTAGCTTTGATCACCAGAAAGAATTTCGAGCGCCAGAGAAAGTACCGAAACTCAATGGTTTTCACGCGTCGGGCCCTGAGAGACACTCGCCCGACACAGTTTCGACACTCTTTTGACACTTTTCCGGGTGCTCGAAATTATTTCTGGGTTGCGGTCCTTAAGTAGGATGGGAGCAACATAAGACTTTGTGAGGGTCGGGGACGACGTCGGGGGGGTGTGGTGTATATGTGTTTCCCCGCTTACCTGGGGGAACATACACCAGGATCCCGTATGCACTGGGATCCGCTTCCTTGTGCGAGTTTCAGTGCGGGGCCAGGAAAAGCGTAGGTGTATACAGAGTTCGGCGCCTTACCAGGAGCAACGGTAATTAGGGTTCGGTTGCAAGTCTTTGCGTCGACCAGCGTGGATTCGGAAGAGCCGACAAGAGGGTGCTGGAGGCTCCCATGAGTGGCCGCCGAGCTAGGGGGGGGGGGCTGGGCTCAGGGGGGGATGCCGATATGGGCCCCATAGGCAGCCTACCCTGCCCAGGACCGTGCGGATGCGCTATCGGGGGCCTACCGCCGATCGAGTTGCGATGTGTCGCCGATTCCAGGTCGATGTTCCCCCCCCCCCCCCCGAGTTGGTCCCCCCTAACGGTTCCCCCCTCGGAGGAGGGAGGGAGGCGGGAGGATCGAGGTCGGGGACGACGGCGGGGTGGTGTGGTGTATTGGTTTCCCCCTTTATCCCGGAGAAACATCGAAGATGTGTTCCCCCTTGAGGAGTTGGTCCCCCCTGTAAGGTCCCCCCTTTCGGAGGAGGGAGGGAAGTGGGAGGATCGAGGCCTTGGGGAGTTGTGTCACCCGTTCTGCTGCCACTCGGGTGGGCCCCTCGTCGCCAGGGGCTGCGCCAAACGTCCCGGAGAGGCCTGGCCGCAGGAGCCAGGCAGGGGGGGCGGAGACAGCGGAGGAGTGTGTCTGCGTTTGCTTCTCGCGCGCCCTCCACGTCATGTCCAGATTTGGGGGATCGGAGGAGGGGCGCCAGGAGGAGGGCTGACAAGGGCATCGTGTGTCCTGGGAGGTACTCGTGGGCCTCCCAGAGGTTCCTCCAGATGTCCAGAGAGGGATGTTTCCCGAGGTGAGGAGCAGGGTAGGAGAGCAGATGTTGAAAAGGAGATGGAGGAGGAGGGGAGGAGGAAGGGACGAGGAGGGAGGAGGAGGGCGTCGGAGGAGGAGAAGAAGGAACGATGGGGTACGTAAGATAGGGAGAGACAAGATGCTGACGATGATAAGAGGAGGAAAAAGAGGAGAAAGGGAAGTGGGAGGTAGCAGGATGAGGAAAGGTAGAAGGAAGGTGGAGAAGGTGGATGAGGAGAGGTGTGAGCTGGAGGAGGTGAGTATGATGGCACTGAGGGAGGAGCTCGAGAAGAGAGGATAGTGCTGGTTGGTGAGGGACAACATTTATGAGATGAGCAGAAGGAGAGGAAGTGGATGCTGATGATGATGATGAGGAGGAGGAGGAGGTGAGGAGAGGGAGGAGGAAGAGGAGGAGGAGGAAGAGGAGGAGGAGGAGGAGGAGGAGGAGGAGGAGGAGGAGGAGCAGGAGGACAAGGATGATGGTGCTGATGCTGATGCTGATGATGATGATGTTGATGTGATGTTGTTGATGTTGTTGATGATGAGATGTGATGATGATGATGATGATGATGATGATGATGATGATGATGATGATGATGATGATGATGATGATGATGATGATGGTGATGGTGATGATGATGCTGATGCTGATGCTGATGCTGATGCTGATGCTGATGCTGATGCTGATGCTGATGCTGCTGCTGCTGCTGCTGCTGCTGCTGCTGATGATGATGATGATGATGATGATGATGATGATGATGATGATGATGATGGGAGGAGGAGGAGGAGGAGGAGGAGGAGGCGGAGGAGGAGGAGGAGGAGGAGAGGGAGAGGGATAGGGATAAGGAGGAGGAGTAGATAGATTTGGAGTTGCAGGAAGGATCCGGCACTCGGGGCCCTGGGGCAGCGGCCCTCTGGCCGCCGCCGCGCGAGGGCGGCACAGCGGGGGCCAACAGTTAGGATGAGCACGGGAAATCATTGGCTACAAGATGAACGGGACGGTCCTCCCAGGGCCTAGGCCGCTGCGAGCTGCGGCACTCAGGATTGGCCTCCGTATGCGGCTTGGCCTGAACGCCAGATGGAGTGGTATATCCCTCATGGTGGCCGCCATGGCGAATGCCAAGTATGACGCCAAGTACGACAGCAAGTGCAACACTGGACACGGCGCATACGACACCAAGGACGACAAAGAGGGGAAAGTGCTATACGAGAGAGCACGCGTGGAAGCATAAGGAAGACGTTGTATACGAGAGCATGCACGAGAGAGGTGCTATACGTTAGCACCATGGGCGTATAGACAAGCGCACACAGTACATCCTCGCGGAGGTCCCATTGCAGCAGCAGAGCTACGACCAGTACGGCGAGCAGGACAGCGACCAGCACGGCGACACTTGCACTTTCCACGGCCCCCGGGACTACATTGGCTTCCAGGTAGTGGAACACTACGACTTGGCTGCCGACGACTGCGATTCGGACCTCGTGGGCTACGAAATGAGCGTGCCCGCTGAGCTATTACAGCCTCAAGCAGAGCTACCAGGGCCGCCATACGATCTTCGCGGACCACGGGCTGAACTACGAGGACCGCGCGCACAGCTACGAGAGCCACCGCCGATGCTTCAAGACACACCTGTCGAGCTACGAGAGCCACCAACAGTGCCACGAGAGCCACAAGCTGAACTTCGAGGACCGCGAGCTGACCTGCGTGAGCCACAAGCAGGGAGGGCTACGAGGCTCACCAGCTGAGCCACCAGCAGACTACCAGGAGAGCTACAAGAGCCACCAGCTCAGCTACGGGAGCCACGAGCAGAGCCTTCGAGAATTATCGGCCAAGCCACGAGGTCCACCTGGGAAGATCCGAGGGCCACAACCTAAGCTTCGATGGCACCGGGTAGATCTACTTCAGCCACCGGAAGAGCGACCAGGAACACCAACTGCCTTTCGAGGACCAACAGTTAAGCTACGAGGACCACGTGCACAACTACGAGAGCCACCTGGGGAGCCTCAAGACACACTTACCGAGCTACGAGAGCCACCAGCAGAGCCACGAGAGCCACTAGCTGAGCCACGCGGTCCGCACGCTGAGCTACGAATGCCACAAGCAGGACTACGACGACAACCAGCTGAACAACGAGGGCCGCTGCGCTACGAAGGCTACCAGCTCAGCTACCTGAGCTCCCGGAGGTACCAGCTGGGCTACGAGGACAACAAACATTACCACGAGGACCACAGGCACAGCTACTACAGCCACCAGAAGAACTACCAGGGCCCCTTGCAGACCTTCGAGGACCCCAAGCTGAGCTACGAGGCCCACAGGCACATCTACGAGACCCAGCGGCACAGCCCCAAGGACTGCGAGCTGAGCCACGAGGACCAGGCACAGCTACGAGAGCTACGAGGGCCATCGCTTGAGCTACGAAAGCCATAGGATGGGCCACACGGGCCACATGCAGGTCTACGAGGACCACCTGCGGAGCTACAAGGGCCACAAGCTCAGCAGTGAGAGCCTCGTGGAGAACTGCGAGTGCCGCCGGCTGAACTACAAGAGCCACGAGCAGAGCCTGGAGAGCTTCCAGCACAGCTTCCAGGACCACCTGCTGGCGAGGGCCGAGCTACGAGGGCCGGAACCCGAGCTACGAGAAACACGCGCTGCGCTACGCGTGCTCTCGGCGGAGCTACGAGGGCCACAGGCTGAGTTACGAGGTCTTCCACCGGTGCTACCAGGGCCACTTCCTGAGCTACGAGAACCACCAGCGGAGCGACAGGGGCCACAGGCTGACCGACGAGAACCTCCAGCAGAGTTACTGGGGCCACCAGCCGAACCACGAGGACCACGAGCTTGGCTACCAGGGCCACGCGCAGAGCTAGGAGGACCTCCAGCAGAGCTGCGAGGACCTCTTGCTGAGCTCGGGAGGGCCGTCCACGACTGGATCTACAGTCGGAGCCACAGGCCTCGGCTTACAGGGGGGCCCATGGAAATTCATGTCCAGCAGCTACTGGAGCAGAAGTGGCAAAACGTGAAGAGTAAGATGAATACGGGCCCGCTCCAGAGCATGGTTGTTGAGAAACCAGCCAACGACGAGGCGGAGAACGACTACCGCAGTCTGGAGCCTAAGGAGACCTATCGACCGAGCACCATCGGCGATATTGTCGAGGCGGTTCACGGCGAGAAGTACGTCGATCGCTTAGAATTACAGATCGACGCTCTGCAGAAGCGGGGTCGGCACCGCCACGGACAAGAGCACTACACGCATCACGATACTGGCAAGCTACCGCGTCTACATGCATGAGCGGCCCGGCCGCTCCTCTTCCTTCCCCTCCTCTTGTTGGGCCCCTGGCGAGAAGAGGGAATGTGGCCTCCCTCGCCCCCCCCCCCCCTTGGAAACAACCTTCCAGCGGCGTCCGCAGGGCCGCGCCCGCGCCGCAGCCTTTCGCGGCGGCGGGCCCGCGAGCGGGCGCGGACAGGGAACCGCAGAAGCGGCTGCGAGAGAGGAGTGGGATGGGAAATAAGAGTTGGCGGGGGCATGGTTAGGGCGGCATTTGGGAAGATACGGAAGCGTCAGACACGACAGAGGTGGCCAAGGAGACAGGCGAATTTGTGGATTATATGTTATACGGAGGCAGGGAGGAGGAGAAGGAGGAGGAGGAGGAGGAGGACGAGGAGGAGGAGGACGAGGAATAATTACTCCGACGGAAGGACCCCGCATGAGAATCCTCTGGGCGAATCTGGAAAAAAACCCTCACCGTCGTCCTCGTGGTTGGTGAGGCGTCCTGGCTCTCTCTTCTGCGTATATTTCTTCTCGCCCTGGCGCGGGCCCTCCCCCCGCTCCCTACGTTGCCCCCGACCTCGCCCTCTTGTTTTGGTTCCGGACATTCAGAAAGTGGCCCGGGAGTGGACAGTTGGTTCCGGGCATTCAAAATGTGGCCCGGGAATGTTGTTCTGGGAGCGCGAAGAACACGAAGTGGCCTACAGTTGGTTCCGGGCGTTCAAAATGTGGCCTGGCAGTGGCGTTCTGGCAGCGCGAGAGCCCAAAAGTGGCGACAGTTACAGGAATTGGATGACCCGCTCGGATTAGTAACGTGATCCGCGGGCCCCATGGGGAGGGGGTTCCCGCTTGAGACTTCCTCGCAATTCACTCACAAATGTGGCCTGGGAATGGCGTTCCGGCAGCGCGAGAGCCCAAAAGTGGCGACAGTTACAGGAATCGGATGACCCGCTCGGATTAGTAACATGATCCGCGGGCCGCATAGGGAGGGGGCTCCCGCTTGAGACTTCCTCGCAATTCACTCACAGACCAGGCCCAAGGCGAGTGAGTGAGTGAGTGAGTGACTGACTGACTGACTGACTGGTGATGATGATGATGATGATGATGACCATCACACTCTCTCACGCGCACACTCATCATCATCATCATCATCATCACCATCACCATCATCATCATCATCATCATCATCATCATCATCATCATCATCATCACCATCACCATCATCATCATCATCATCATCATCATCATCATCATCATCATATGTGAGTGATGATGAGTCAGTGAGTGAGTGAGTGAGTGAGTGAGTGAGTGAGTGTGTGTGTGAGGGATGATGAGTGAGTGAGTGAGTGAGGAATGAGTGATGATGATGATGATGATGGTGGTTTCCAGAGAAAACAAGAACCCCACTTTGGATGTGGGGAAAAACACGCTTTTCAGCAAAAGCCGCCTCGCGCTCGCCCACCTTTTGAGATTTGTCGGGGGGGGCACTAGCATGGCACAGCATGCTCAAGATATCACCAGTCATCAATTTGAACGCTGATCCATCCCCGGCACTCTCCATGCTCCTCTTCTCTTCGGGGGGGAACACTGGTCGAGGGAAAAGGTCGAGACGTCCTGCAGGCACGGATCGAAACAAAAAACGTGGCGCCGGATGCCAGCTCTTTCGCGGATGATGGCGTCAATTTTGTTTCAACGTTTGCTTCCTCTCGGGCCCTGAGACCCTTACGGGTCGATCGGGCTTGATAAAGAACGCACGAGGGGTTCAGAAATCCAGAAATCCCGTTCTTGCTTTTTCGTGGCGACGTGGCTTGCCCACAGCGTCGGATGTCCGGGACAGGTGCAGGCGGCGTTGAGTTCGAGCTCGTGGAGTCCGGAGGTCGACGACGAGCCCGCGGAAGAGTCACGGGTCGAGGCCAGGCAGGACGAGCCCATGGAGGTCGAGGTCGAGGTCGAGGCACGGCAGGAGCCCGCACCCGCGGCCGAACCCGAGGTGGCGGAGTGGCCGGGCGGGGCGGCGCCACAGGAGGCCTCGCCCCTGGTCGAGCCCGGCGCCGCGGGGGGGACGGGCGAGGGCGAGCCCACGGAGGAGGCCGCGCCCCACGCCGACCTCGAGGCCGCGGGGGCGACGGCCGCGGAGGCCGCGGCCCTGGCCGATGCCTATGTGCTGGCGGAGGTCTAGCGGAGTCAGCCTCGACTGGGCCGTGGGCGCGGCCCTGGGCGCGCTCGTCCGAGGGCCGCCGCGCGCCGGCTCCGGACGGCTCTCGTGCCCCTGTGCCTTGGACCTCGGCGCCGCGGGAGGAGCGGCGTGCCTCGGGCGAGGGCCGCGGCTCCGAGCGTGCTCCGGGGGGGGGCGGGCGGGCCGCACGCTCTGTCGTCCGCGACGGTCTGAGGCCAAGTGCAGGTGTCCTGTCGGCGCTGCCGCGCACAGCCGCCGCGCACACCTGCGGGGGGGCAGAGGAGCAGTGCCGCCGCGGCGTGGCTGCAGCGCTGCGTGGCCGTTCCCCCTGCCTCGGAGGGGGGGTGGTCCAGCAGGGCAAGGCAGAGAACAAGGGACAGAGGAGGGGGAGGAGGAGGCGGAGAAGGAGGAGGAACAGGAGGAGGAGGAGGCCCATCCGAGCTCCCTCCCTCCCTCCCTCCCTCTGAACTTCCTCCCTCCTTCCTTCCGAGCTCCCTCTTCAGAGGCCCCATACCAGGATTCACTTCCACTGAGGAAAGTGTCCCATTGGGAGACAACCGTGTGAACATCCTGAAGCGTGCGAAACACCATTCTCAGGATTCCAACGCCACGAGTCAACGTGACTGTTGCGTCTTGACTACGCGAATCAAGTTGCGCCCTGACAATCCTGAATCGCTCGAACACACACTTTCTGGAAGAATAACCATGCGAATCCGCGAAACGCTTGCACATGTGTTTAAACAAGTGCGTGCGGCGCTAAGGCGAGAGCCACATGCTGAAAAGGAGCCGCCCTTGATTCGTAAAACTCTTGCAATGCTTTGAAAATAATGTGCGTTGCGCTAAAGCGAGAGCCACCTATGAAAGGAACCACCATCAATCTGGGCAGCTCTTGCAAATTGTTCAGACGAATGTGCGCAGCACTTTTGTGAGAACCGCTTTTTTGAAACGACTTGCCCTCAATCCGTGAAGCTCCTGCAAAGTTTGAATACGAATGGGCGCGGCGCCAATGCGAGAGTCACATTTTGAAAACGTCCCACCCTCAATCCGCGAAGCCCTTGCATTATTAGCAACCAACAAATGAATATGTGCGGCGCTAAAGCGAAAGCCACATTTCGAAAACGACACGCCCTGATTCCGTGAAGCTCCGGCAGTGTTTAGCGAAGAGTGCGCGCGGCGCCGAGGCGAGAGCCACACTTTGGAGGCGACCCGCCCTGCATCTGCGCAACTGCTGCCAGCTGCTCAGCTCCAGGCTCACAGTCGGTGAGGGAGTCTCAGGTGAAACGCCCGGCCCGCCCTTCCGACCAGCCGGCCTGCAGATTTTGTGGATGCCAGCCCGTCGATCTTGGGTCCCTCTTGGGGGCCGTTCGCTGTACTGGATTTCAAGCAGCGCTTTGCGGGCGCCTTTGAAAAACCCATGGCTCTTTATTGCTGCCGTTTGAGATGGAGACCCCCCCTAAACAAAAAAAAGGTGACTCACAAGGAAGAGAAATTGGAAACAGAGTTCCCAGGACGGTGCCGGGGTGCCGGGGCGTGGTGGGGGCGCCGGGTGGCTCCGGGACAGCAATTGTACAGGGTGCGGGGGCCCTAGAGCAGAGCTCCCAGGACGGTGCCGGGGCGTGGCAGGGGGTGTTGGTCGGTTCTGGGCCAGAAGTTGTAGGGGCGAGGAGGACGAAGCCCGGGAGGGGCCGGGGGAAGCATGGGCCCTCCTGGGCCTCCCGTGCCGCCCGGCGGCGGGGGCACGGAGCTCGGGGGAGGGGAGGCCGCACCGAGGAACGGATCGGCCATGGGTAAGTCTGGCCTGTCTTTCTACAGGGGGAGTGTTCAACAACAGCCACAACATAGTCTGGGGACCATGTTTTGGCATTTCTTTTTTTGCATGTTTGGTTATTGTTGGGGTATTATTTTTGTTTTTCGTCCAGAGTCTGCCTGTAGGGGGACACGCCCGACCCAAGGCTACGGGTTGGTGCTCAATGAAGGGCGGGGGGCGGGCGCTGTGCAGAACCCGGAAAGGACGAGGCTCGACCGCTCGGAGGCACAGCCGAGCCCCACCTGAGGCGAGTCGGAATTGCTTCAGCTGCCAGCAGCCTCACCTCCTTGTTCACGTCTCCCGCCTCGCAGTATGTCATCACTTGGGTGGCATTCCCAATTCCATGTCATGCGCCAGTGCTTCCGAGGGCCACACCCCTCCATGCTAACTCTGCAGCCTGGCAGAGCTGTTCAGTTGCGTTCTAAATCCGTCACATCGTGCGGTCTTCTTGAAAGAGTCGTGGGGCCGTTTTGGGGGCGGCCCGCTTCAGAACATGCAGATGATGTTTGGTGCAAGCGATGACTCACCCCTAGCATCCGTATCGCAGGTGTCACCGGCTAATGCGTGGTGAGTAGCGGTGCCTTGTGAAGGGGCGCAGGTTGTTTGACAGACGCTTGTCGCTGCAAGGCGCCGTGGCGGACCATCTGTTTGATTTATGTAGCTAGGTTTGCCCGGCTAGGGGACGAGTCAGGCGTAATTCAATAGGCCAGTGTAGTTGTTGATATGCGTGTCGTGGAATCAATTGCCTGGTGGCCGCTAGTGCCATGCTGTCGAGTCTGGTCGGGTTACTCCCAGTGCGTACATCCTGCATCAAGACGATTCACTCAGATGGACTGAGAGGGGGATATTGTGATGATTGTAACAGGTTTGCTTCGCATACCGCAAGCATTCATTGGTACACGATTCTTAATCATGGCGCGTGATCGCAGGATGCACTCTAGGGTCGCGCGCCAGTATTCGTTTTCGTTCGGAAAGCTTATTTTTCTTAGTTAGTTTGTTGCGCTGCTTGGTATTGCAGAGCGTTGATGGTTCTTCGATCTTGGCGTGGGGATGCCGACCGAAGATGTTCTGTCACACGCAGCTGCGCCAGCCATTATATCGCAGTGACCGCGGCTCGCGCATGTGTGCGTCTGCAGCGGCTTGAGAAATAGTTCCAGGAATCCTGAAGCTTCCACTTGGCGGATTTGGTTTGCGCCTCGCGAGTCCCCATCAGCCCATCATCTGACCAGTGTTTTGTTTGTTGGGGGGGGTGCACCTCGAGTGCTTATTGGTGCCAGCCTCCGCCTCGTCGTCCTGCTTCTCGTGCCCGTCCTACCTTTCTTCGTGTGCACGTTCCTCCGAAAGCGTGGCGCAGTGGCGTCCTGGAAAAAGTCAGGCGTTTCTCCACAGAGTCGGCCCCTGTGGGAGGGGTCCCCTGCTCCCGTCGCGGACCGCCAAGCGCGGTCCCTGCGCGAAGCGTTCCTTCGTGACCGGTGGAGGACCGTGCACCCCAGAGCACTGCCCCAGCTGCTGATCCTCAGCATCCCCCTGAAAGAATTGGTGCGGGCAACGTGCCCTGTCCAGTGGCCGAGCATGCTCCAACGCCCCATGCTTGCCACCCTGGTGGAACAGTGCTAGACCACGTTTCATTTCCTATGGTGCGCTTGCTTCGGCAAGCTACAGCGGAGACGCTAAAACAAGGACCATGTGGGGTTCAGGAGAGGTTCTGGCTTTTGAGTCGTCCTTTGGAGCTAGCTCGGAGAGGTTATGTACGGTCGAAGCTCGACGTGTCCCTGACCCCTATCGATCTTGCAGCCTGGATTCTACAGGCGTCACCTCGTAGGTCAAGAACATGTGGCATCGGGCACAGGGCTCTCACAATGCCTCATGCACCTTGTCAAGAAAGTGCAGCAGGAGCATTGAATTGTGCTGGACCCTCGCAGCACGCAACCTCCAGGGGACAGAGTGCGGCGGCGGCACAGGAGTTCCACCTTTGGCCCCAGGATTCTCATTTACAGCCCCCCTTGTCCGCCCAGCGTGACCCCCAATCAGTGAGGACTGTAGAAGCCACACTGGATCATTGTTCATACTGCTATCAGGGTGCACCCGCTGACGTAATTTCACAGTGCCTCGGCAGGCCGGAGGGATTCTCGGCTCGAGTAGAGGGATGGGGAAAGCAGCATGTGTGCACACAGGCGGAATTGAAGGGAAGCCAGCGAGCAGAGATGGAGGCATGATGTTGATAAGGAGGAGGAGGAGTAGAATGTGTCGTGAGCAGAGCAGGAGGTAGAAGACTCGAATAAAGAAGTGCTTGAGCATGGGGATGACAAGGGGACTGATTTTGAGAGCGGGGGGGAGAGACAGGATAAACACATGGAGGCGACACATCGAGAGAGCGAGAGAGAGAGAGAGAGAGAGCCACCAAACTAATACAGAGGAATTGAGAATTGGAGGGGGGTGGCCTTCCTCTGCTTGCTTGGTCACAGGACCAGAGAAGTAACACATAACATTGTTGACTGCTTTGGCTGGCGCCAACTTCGAGACAAACGAGTGCGACGTATATGAGGCGCACATCGGCCTGGTACCGCGCGCGCCGAGCGCACTCTCGACCGACGTGGGGAGAGCACGCGGCATCTTGCAGCGCGAGACAACGGCGGCGGCGGGTCATTTCGGGACAGGGCTGGCAGTTCGCGAGCAAGCACTTCCACAGTGGCGCGCCTGGCGCACGGTTCTCGCATTGCCGTCGAGCCCGTGCGCAGAGGAGCTGCCGCCGATGAGGAAACGAGCCCCCCCTGCGGATGGAGGGCGCCCGCGGGGGCGCTGGCCTGGCCCCGCGCCCCACCGGGGCAGGCCAGCTTGCCCAGCCCCGCCCCGAACGGCCCGATAGCTCGCGTTCTCGTGGCCGCCGCGCTGTCCCTGCGCGCCTCCTTGCTGGAGGAGCTCGGCGGATCCGTTCGGCAGCCCGCCCGTCCCCATGCGACGCGAGCTCCCTGCGGGGCCGCTGCCGCCCCCCCACCAGGGCAGGGGTGTTCGTGCAGCGTCGGACGGGAAGGAGGGGGTCGCCGTTGCGAGGAGGTGGCCACGTGGCCGGGCAGTCCCACGAAGTCTCCGACGCGACCCCGAAGCGGTCTCCGAAGCCCATGGTCGGTGGCGTGACGTTTTGTTTCAGGAGTGGCGTGTGGGCCTGTTTTCTTTTGCTCCCAGGGAGTCCGGGATCGATTCTGCGCGCCCTGCCGGTGGTCGCCCGCAGAAGTTTTCGTTTGCAGAGTCTCGTGGCCGTCGACTTGGAGCCCGCGCCGTGGCCGCGGCTGCGAGTTCGAGTGCCATGTTCGGAGGGATGCGAGCGATGTCGAGTCCGCCCACGAGCCCAGGTGCTGACCGTGAGGCAGGGCTACGCCCACACGGACTCCACACCCGTGGCTGCGGGCTGCAGCGCCGTTGCATGCGTTCAGGGTGGCTCCTGGCCGAGCCACAGGGGCATGTTCACCGAGTCTAGGCTCAAATCGGGCATGTCCCTCGACAGGAGGAATGTCCGAGAATGGTCAAACATGCTCTGGGGACGACTTGTCGTGCTCTTCGGATTTGCTGTTCTTCTGTTTGGTAATTTTTATGTGTCTTCCAATATCCGCCTGGAGGAGGACCAGGGTGGGCCTGGCCAGGATCAGCGTAGGTGTTCCGTCGGTGACCTCCCCAAGCTGAGCGACGACTACGGATGGCGGATGGCCATGTGTGGCACGCGGCGATGCCCTGGGCAATGCTTCACGCATTGGGCTCTGGTCCTGGTCGTGGGCTTCGTCGTCGCAGCTGGGATGAGCGATCGTCTCCTCCGGAGCTCTCCCCCGCGGCAGCAAGCCGTGCTGCAGGCCAGACGTCCGGCCGCTCCTCCTCTGTCGAGGCGTGGGCCCCGCAGATGTCCGGGCCACTTCCCTACAGGGCCGGCTGTTTCGTCCCGAAGCCGTCCTCCGACGTGGCGAGCCCCTTCTCGCCGTGAGCTTCCCGTCCTGCTGAAGACGTGGCCCGAGCCTCTTCTCTGGCGTGGCGAGCCCCTCCTCGCCGCGGCCGGCTCTCTCGTCCCGAAGGCGCTCTCCGACGGGCTCTCGAGGCCCGGCGAGGGCCCCCCCGGAGGCCGCACGTGGCGGGCCTCCTCCCGCCGTGGGCTCTTCTCGTGGCACGCGGGGGGGGGGTTCTCGGATGCGCTCCCGCGGCTGCAGCTGTTTGAGGCCGTGCGCCCCCCCCCCGGCGTCCTGCACTCCTGGTCCCCCTCCTCCTCCTCCTCCTCCTCCTCCTCCTCCTCCTCCTCCTCCTCCTCCTCCTCCTCCTCCCGATCCCAGGTGATTCCCGGATCCCCCCGGCCTGCCCTCCTGCACTTCGGAGATTGATAAGACCTCCTACCCTGACGCGTCGATGAGTGAATCGGCCGTCTTCGGTTCGCGAGAGGGCGCCGCGGCCGTCCTTTCTGCGGGTCCAGGTCCGTCGGTTTCGGTCCCGGGCCGCTTTCACTGAGGGGAGGTCTACGAAAGGGAGGCCTGTCCACCGCCGATGCACCCCCCCATCCTGCACTCCCGGATTTGAAGTCTGTATTGCCCGAGTTCGGGCGTCGCTCCTCGTGCTGCTCTGCGCCTCCCCTCCGAGAGCGAGGTCCGACCTGAAGCGTACAGCCGAGCCTTGGCCTTTTCTAGGCCTCCCAGATGGAGTCCGAGTAGACGGGGTCGGAGGATCGCGCCGCTTCGCCGATGCATCGCCCACGTCGACGATGCATCGCTGGTGCACCGCGGATGCATCGCTGATGCATCGCCGATGTCTCGGCGATGCGGCGCGATCCTCCGACACCCTCTAGTAGGATCAGGATTAAGTCGGGCATGTCCCTCTACAGGAGGAATGTTCCAAACTAGTAAAAAAAATAGTCTTGGGACGATGTTTTCACCACGTTTGGCCATTTTGAATTTTTGGGGGGTCTTTTCTATTTCTCGTCCAAGATCCGCCTGTAAGGGGGACACGCCCAACCTCGTACTAGGACCCCATCGAGGAGGCCTCTACTCATTGAGGATCCCCCCTCGAGGCCTCTACTAATTGAGGAGGAGGCCTCTACTAATTGAGGATCCCCTTTGAGGAGGCCTCCTAGGACCCCTTCGAACGCCTTCGAGGAGGAGGCCCCTACTATTTGAGCAGGAGGCCTCCTAGGACCCCATCGAGGATGCCTCTACTCATTGAGGATCCCCCCCCGCCCCGGGGCGCCTCGCCGCCAGGCCAGCACAGGGCGACAGGCCGACCCTCGCCGCGCGCCACCCGCGGCCGCCGCCGTGCTCGCGCGCACACGCGCCCGCGCGGGCCGTGCCTGATGGGCTTGTGGTTCTCCACCACCACCACCACAAGTAGGAGGGGGAGTGGGTCCTCCTCCTCCTCCTCCTCCTCCTCCTCCTCCTCCTCCTCCTCCTCCTCCACCTCCTCCTCAGCTCACCGAGCGCGTTCCACTACTCGCAAAGCGCCTACTCGCAAGCGCCCGAAAACCACATGTCTGCTTCGATGTAATTTCTCGTAGATCCCCCGCGGCGGATCCAGGCCATTTGCAAGTAGCTACTTTGCGAGTAGTGGAACGCGCTCGTCTATCAGCTTCGTCCTCCTCCTCCTCCTCCTCCTCGTCCTCCACCTCCCCCCCTTCCAACTTGTGGTGGTGGTGGTGGAGAACAGGCCCATCAGTTCCGATACCGGGAGAAGTGCACAGGCTTCACGAGGATCGGGGGCGGCCAAGAGGGGGGGGCGACTAGGAGGGGGGGGCGCCCAGACCACCTCGCGCTGTGAAAAAAACATCTTGGCGGCAGGTTTCTCGCTGTGTTCATCCTCCCGGGGGGCCTTTCCTGGGCCTCCAGACTTTCAAAACACGACACAGGATTGACAAATCCGTCCCGGGGAAAGGGTCCAGACCTCTGGGGGTCGACGTTGTGACAAAATCACGACGTCGGGGGTCGGGGTATCATGGCGGGGACCACGATATCGCCCCAGATTTCATGGCGCCTCTTCTTGTTTCATTACGTCCTCAGCCCCACCCCTGTGCCGCGCACGTGCTGCTGGCCATGATTTGCGCCCCACCCTCTTGGACGCCCCCCTCGTGGACGCCCCCGAGAGGAGGATCTCCAGGAGGTGGCACTGAGATCCCCGAGGTCGAGGTTCAATGTGTGAGGCGTGGGGCTGTTCTCGCCGGTGGTCGGCGGAGTCCAGCCTCGGGGCGCTCCCCAGCAGCTGCGCCTCGCCGAGAGCCGTGCAGGGGTACCCGGATCGCCCCAAACGGCCACTGGAGAGCCGAGTGTGGCTGAAAGTGGACGCAAGGCGCGACGGCACGAGAGTATCATTTTGATTCCTGGGCGATAGCGGCCGTTACAGGGGGGG